TTTGGTCAGGTAGGCAACGAAAATCAAGACAAGAGGTGTTCAAGCGTGCTTTGTCCTGTCCATATGCTAGCCCAGCCCTGGTGGGCACACTGAATCCAAAGGGCTAGCTGGGCAGACCAATGCTGCCCAGCACGACTCTAATCAATGGTCAAGTGCAATGCCGGCCAAGCTGCTGTCACCCAGCGAGAGAACGTTCTTGCGCCTGGTGCACTGCCCGTAAGCTTGGTGTGCAAGCCTTCTTGGTTTTTGACAGAGTAAGATGAAGAGTCCAGGCCGAATGTAGTCGGCCACGCACAAAGAAGCTAACTTCCGTTGCAAGCGTTACACATCTAAGGTTCGGCTCTCAACTGCAATTGCTCGGATATGCGTCTCCTGGTTAAAATACACGCGTCCGGCCTTGGCACAGTTCAGCACTATATAATGGAACCCCTTGCAAATCTGAACATGAAGCAGCACTGCGTGAACTGCATCTGTGCCAGACCTTAAACCTCAACCCTTATGCACCTTCTGAATCCCCTAACAAAAAATCAAGTCCTCTAGCCGACTACAGAAAAACTCGACCTCAGCATGACAAACAACCGTTGAAGCCTAACCTCCCTCCCGGCAAAGGGGCCTTTGCGGCTGGGTGAGGCCCTTCCGCCCATAGACACGCTCAATCTCCGCCGCAAAGGCCCGCACCTTCCACTCCAACGGCGACCTTAGCTGTTATCGGTACCGCTGTTGTTGCTGCCGCTCTCCTTCTTCTTCTTCGTCTGTTAGTGATGGTTGTGGTGGTCATGGCGGCTTCAGGCGGCGCAATTCAAGGTCCCATGCTAGCTGGGGGTACCTGGGGGCCCAGGGTGATTCTTAGGCCGAGAGATGGGGAAAGCGGGAGACGCAGGGACACTGCGAAACTGAATGATGAAAGCTGGTGGAAAAGGCAACCGGATGCGATTGGGCATTGGCGTAAACCCATAAGCTCTACAATAAATGCCTTGAGCCTGTCAGCTCCTACCCGACACCGCAGTGCAGCACAGTTGGCACTGTGTCACCTCAAGCCATGAATGAACCTTCTTGACTGCCTGTGAACCCCGCAAGAGCCTGGCAATTTGTCATGGTCTTGCTTAGATTGTGACTGTAGCTCATGCAGACCTTTCGATGAACTGGAGCTGGGCGGGGCACGGCAAAGTGCTACTCTCATACGTGGTTCTCGCAGAAAGCACCTGTCAACTGTCAAGGGATTGCCTGGCTTTTGCTGGCTATGAGTATGTGGTCCCTAGTGACTGCTCTAGTGACTGCAGCATGGCGCATGTACTGAAAATTGTGATCATGGAACTTCACCGTGAACTGACACGTCAACCTCAACATGCACACGAAGGTGCAGTGTGCTGATTGTCATGGTAAGATGGAGATCTATAGCAAGCATGCCAACGCCAGCGCCAGCAAGGGCAAGAAATTGATGCGACACGATTCACTCCACACTCACTCACACACTCAGAGGGAAACATGGATAAGAAGGCGATGAAATCGTTGTATGGCATTAGGTTGCAAATGCCGGGATCTACAAGTCATGTCGCTCTTGCAAATGTCTTGAAGAATACACGCCTCCTCTACATCCCAAATTGAAACACACAAAGATGAGCACCTCCTTTATACACAAGCCGCGCACATGCTAGGATAAGAAGGATCGCACCATGAGTTTGCTGTTCCCACCAGCATGACTCAAATGCTATGATGAAATTTACCACAGCGTTCCAGGTACATTCTCGCTCAAGCCTTGACGCTCTCAAGTGCCGGGTAGAGCGTTGGCAGGAATTTCTGGCAGCTGAGCTCGATCCATCCTACAGGTCATTCATCGCTTAGAATACCAAAAAACCCTAAACCCTAAACCCTATGTAACCAATTATAGTAGTTTCCATTTTCTTTTCCATTATCCCTATATAACCCCAATATTACCCGAAATTGCAATATGGAAGGCCAGGAAGGCCAAGCTCGCCACGGAGGCATGCACCTAGGGTTTATATTGTTAGGGTCATATTGGGGTTCTATTGGGATAATAAAAAATAAAATGGAAACTACTATAGTACGGGTAATGAAGCTGACAAGTTACCCCGGTAGCATAACCTTCCCACCCACACACGCTGCATTCGACTCCGAAGACATGTTTGAAGCGGTTGTTGGCTGTCCTCGCTCTGCATTTGTGATGATCACGACCTGGCTATAGAAGCCAAATTCTGGAAACGATCCTGCTTCCCCGGTCATTTAGGCTGCGCAACCGACACAAACATGCGTTTCGACAAGCTCGCACGGTGCTATCTCTTGGGTAGAACTGTTTCATGCAGCAATGCATTCCACACAGTCAACAGAGCCCTCATTAGTGTGCAGAGAAATGGCGGGGTCGACAGTCATCAAGAAATCCCTTGAACATCCAATGTTATACGTGCCCAAAGCCATGTTGAACCCTGGTCATTGACAGACACAAAAACCAGACCGAAACGCAACATGATGCAGGCTCAGCTGAAACAGACAAAGCTTATGGAACCTTGTGGCACTATGCTAGGTCAACTACTCGGAATATGATCCCAATGTGCAGCCCGAGAATCCAGGCGTCATATTATAAATGAGTAGCAGTCTCACAGACAAGTGAAGCGATGCCCTTGCCAGGAACCAAACTAAGCTCGTCAATCTCAGCTGGAGCTCAGTGGCTGCTCTTCCCAAGCCCTTGCATACCGTTGGCCCGGACCCTAGCTCAGAAACGCCCGAAAACTCTCCAAGATTCTCCTGGAGCCCTGCATGTCAAACCAGTAGACAATACAAACTAATCCGCTGTCCTCTAGACAAGATACCCCGAAAGTCCATAGTCTCCGTGCACGAAACCTCTAGCCGGGAAGACGGTTCCAAGCTGCTTTGCCAAGCGCAATGTCTCAGCAGCAGCTGTGGCTACCTGGCACACTAGGATCATACTCGATGTTGAGGTAGGAGCTCGAAGGCCGCAAGTTGCCAGTACGACCGCAAACCAGAGCAGTCACTGCACAATATGTCCTAGGAGGTACTTTACATGTGCGCAACACCTTCTTCTTCGGTCTTGCTGCTTGGCGAGACGAAAAGCTTGTGACCAGTGACTGGAAATCTCACACAGCTTTGCCGCAACAGGACTAGACAAGAATCTGACATCAAGGCCGATGCCAATACTTCAGCATGCCAACTTTAATGTTGACTCCACAAGCTTCCTCTGGAAGACTCTATGAGCTCTGAGCTCTTTGGGATTCCAAACATCGACCCTGCATCACTTCCAAAGGCATCCATGAACTCTCCAAGCGATTCTTTTTAAACATCCCCATGGGTAGTTCCCAAAAGTAGGCTCCCATTCTGGTACCCCTTACCATTAGATGCCGTAAGATAATACACAACCAGAAGGGACCCTTAATTTTGAGAACAACGCATATCTCCGCACCTCAAAAAGCTGCTTCCTGTGGTGGGGGAGGACTTCGGAGCCTCGCAGCCGATGTGGGCCAAGGGAGTTTTGCGGTTTTGCGGTTTAAGACCAGTTGCCCAGATTCACCCATGAACCTGGTCAAGATGACAAGGATTTCTGGGGTGATCCTCACTTGCCATCCCTTCTTGAGGCTCCGCCTCTGTGATGACATGAGATGCTTCGGATTGCAATCATCAATTTAGATGGTATCTACACTGGAATCTTGTCAAGAAATCATTGTAACCTATGGTGTAATGTCACAATAATGTTCCAAGAGAGCAGACCAACACCAGGAAGAGGGATTGCACAGAAGCCCAAGTAGCACTTGCAGGTGAGGGCCATAGCCCCCGAGGACCAAGCCCTATCTGATAGGGATTGATGCTTGGGTGCTCTGGACATCCAGCCCACAAGGATTGGAGCTGCCTTAACTGGAAGCACCTGGGTAGCTCCCAAGGTTGTCATTCATCGCAAATGCTAAGAAGGCCTGACTGTCCTTAAGCTCGCCAAAACACATCGCCTATCATACATGAGGCTTTGCCATGACATCAGCTGGCGTTGTCTGAAGCATTTCAAACCCTTACCCCAGAAATCACGGATTCCAAATGCTAGTGAAGCTCGGATCGTGTCACACACCCTCCACCTTTGCGGTCATCAAGTTCTCCAGAAAACTTCCTAAACCCTACAGTCCCCTGTAATTAGATAGAATATGGGGTATATGGGGATCTTATTCTGATAGACCCAAACCCATGTTCTATCTACTTAAGGGGGACCATAAACCCTAAACTATCTCAGCTTAGGGGCTTTCGTCGAGTCGAAGGCCCTGGCTCTGGACCTTACATGTCATGAGAACTTCGTGTATTGAGGCTATATTGGGATAATGGAAAATACAATGGAAACTACTATAGTATAATAGGGTATATATTGGGGTTATATATCGCTTGGGGAACGCCCTGAATCACTGAATGGCGCTGATTCTCCAAATCAACCATGGCAGATCAAAAAGTTGTTCTTCGAGTGCAGCTGTAGGGCTTCGGGGTTGGACAGTACGTCAGGTTTCAGGCGACAAATATTGTGCGTTGGGACCAAGGTATGTTGTTATCTGGGACCTTCGAGACTTGATACATGAAGGTTTCCGAGAGATCAGGGTGAGGGTTTAAGCATTGTTGGCAAGGTTCTGGAATCTAGACTAGGCAGGTGCCTTGAAGTGTCTTGGTAACTTCTAATTTGGTCTGGCAATATGTCGACCCTGCACACACAAATAAATTCCAAGCGAGAGAGGATTTCACTCTGAAGGTGCTGCGGGCATCGTGAATTCGACTGCAAATGCCGTTTGCACAGGTGCATCAGCCGTATCAACCTTTTCGCGTTTCCAGTTTGTGTGCCCCAACGTTCGTTGCCGGCTCATCCTTTGAAGAGGTATGGTTCGCACTTCCACGGTATGGGCCTCAATCTAGCTGGAAGCTCTGACCCCGCAGCCCGCTTGCACGCACCCCAGCAAAGCTACAATTCCAGCCTTTGCACCTGGATCATCCTCTGAGCATGCAGCCCACGAAGAGGGAAGAACTGTATCATCCCAGTCGAAAATGAGCAAGGTGTCCTTCCACAAAGAGCAGCTTCAAGGCAAACCCATGTATGGTTTGACGAAGGCAGTGAGAGGTGCACATGCTCAAAAAGGGGTTGGCCAAAAGCCAAACTTCTGTAACTTGAAGCTGCTATAATGCTGACATAGTACAAAAGGTTGCATCAGTGCGACGCACTGCTCAGGCCCTGAACAGACCGAACCCCTATCTCCATAGTATCCTCCCTACAAGACTTACTGCAAGGAGTTGTAGCAAGACTGCTAAGCAAACACCTGGCCCAGGACAACTACTGCTAGCAGCAACTCTGCAAACGCTCGCCCCAGCCTCTTTTCAGAAAGTCACTTGTAACTCAAATGCTGGCTTCCTCGAAGGACACCGGTGGGGACTCGGGGCTAGCCGTGCCGTCTGCCTGGCGGCGACAACAAAGGGCTTCAACATGACGGCTCGAGAGATGTGAGCGATTATACCGTTAGTCTTCAAAGCTTACGCATTTTGTTTGGGATTCGATTGTTTGGGCTTCTGTTTTCTTAATTTAGTGTTTGGGCTTGCGCTTGATTCGAAGGGTTGGGGTTCTGGGCTCTAAGCCTTCGGCGATAATGTTTTCGCCCGGGCTTGGAGTTCAGGTTGGATTTAGAAATTTAGCTCTTGATTGGGCTTGCATATCTCGCAGGTCTTAAGACCTTGTACTCAAGTACTGAAGGAGTCTGATGGATGATGATGATGTACCCTCATGTGGATGCCGCAAGGATCCTTGCTTCATTCCACATCTGAACTCCCATCCTGCTGGCAGAGGACCGCAAAAATCTAGAGTCCCAAACCCTTTCACCTTGGTTTTCGGGCTTGTGTCGGCGTTAGATTGCTCCTATTGAAAACTGTGTGGGGTACAATTATGGGAGTTATGCCTGGGATGCGCAACAGGTTTTAGAGGTTCAAAGCTGCAAAGTCTCCCTGAGGCCCCCCAAGCCGAGCAGTCCCAAAGTCATCGGACCTCGCCGGTCGCCACTTGACCTGCTCAACCGCGTGTGTCCACTAGGAAAAAGTGCTATCGAAGTTACTCTTTCTAATGCTGTCTTTCTAATACCGGTACTGGTGGCCAAGAGAAGCAGCCCCAGTTCGAAGCAACCCGCTCGATCGGGATTCCATGCGCCCTCTATATACCACCCTTGAATCCTTGTTTAAGATTGCGATGTTCAGATGATTTGATCTGCGCTTGGAAGCCCACGGTGCTACGATAGAGCCTTCCTTTTTCTGCCCGTCGCGTGTGGGATAGAGAGTCTGCCCCGTAAGCGTATGAATTTATTGAGCGCTCTGAAGATGATATCCACTTTGTAGAAGTAACGAGGCTATACTGCTGCTGCCAGGGCGTTCACATCCACCTGCAAGGATCATACTCACATGTTGGTACATGCACCTCATACATACCTTCTGGAACAAATGGGACCCTGACTGTTTTGGGCTCGGAAAACCTGAGTGGCCACTAATGGAAATGCTGTGGCAAAGGCATCTTACTGATTACTGATCCCCATCGCCAGAAGCCGTTGATATTTACCCAGTCTAGTCCATTGGAACTTGCATTCTTTCCTACCTTCTAAAACTTGCAACACATAAAACGCACGCCAAGATCTCAAACCTTCGCCACAAACCTCACTGAGGCCTCATAGGCCTTACCCGTCCCCTGCATTGGGATTTAGATTGTATCAGAACCCTGCGCGCGAACGGCCTTCTTCCGTCGAAGAGCTGCCCTCCTCGGTACTGGCCTCGTCATCGGGAACCATCGGCGTCCCTGGGTGCCAAGTGCAATCAATCAATCTGATCCCTACTTCACAGGAAGGACTCAACATACACGCGCAGGAAACCTGTTCAGTTCAGGAATGTTCGGTAGAAGCGGACTTTCAATATGATGAGAGATGATCCTCGCGGGATTGAGACTTCATAGAATGAGGGTCATGGTTCGTGATTCGGTTTTTTACAGCCAGCGTGCCTTGTTCGGCATGCCTGAGGCACTTGTTACTGGTCCATCAATCCACACTGTCCTGTGTTATTCATAGTTTAGGGCTCCATGACAAGACCTAAAGAGCCTTGCTCACGTGCTCAACACCTCAGAGACAAGGAGCTTACCTAGTTGCGGCATCTTGTCTTTCTGAATGTCTTGCGGATGCCACATATCATGACACGCTCTAACAAGAGACTTTGACGTTGAATGTCAGGAAAGCACATCGTATATCATCTGGAAATGGGGGCGTGCTTATGGAAGCCACTTTCAGGAGACGGAACCAACAAGTCGAGCAATGGTTTTGCAAGCTTGTTGTGGGAAGAGATACCCAGTCGATTGCTATGCTTTCCACGTCTACATCAACGCATAAATTGTTCATGACAATCGTCGCTTGCGCCAAAACCTGCGCTCATGGATGCGCGGAATCAGCGCAGCCGGTTCTAGTTCGTCGTAGCGCCACTGCAGACCGCGGTCAGTGTTTGCTCTCGCGAGACTTTTGCTTGCTAAGGGAATATTGGTGTGCTATATTGGTGTGCACCACGGCCTTGAGCTTCACTGAGGCTCTAGTCTAAATAAGAGCCAGATATATTTGCTATTGACCAGAGTGAGGAAGCCAAGGCCGCATCGCGTGGATCTCAGGCCTTTATGCTGCGTCCATGCAACGCTGTACTTGATTTCCGCCATGTCGTATTCCGTATTCTATGTTCGCGGAAAACGCAAAATTCCGAGTAATTGCACAACAAGCAGTAGCACGAAACCATGAGTCCTCTGAACTTAGAACCATGTGTTCGGAGGCCCGGAGCCCTGACCTGTCGAGGCAAAACCCTGAAGCCCGGCATGTCGCCGCTGCACCCATGGAAGACAAGGTCTTAGTCTTCGACCCTTCTGGAGGAGCTTGTTTGGAAGGTTCGCCTGCTCATGGATCCACCTGGCACAACTGCTCCCGATGATCGTGCAGACACTCAGTTACCGTCTAAGATCGTGATGGATGTTTTCGTTTCTATCAGTTCTGGCTGCTCTTTCTGCGACGCGCAGGCGCCGGATGGAAAGTATCTACCAAATGTAGCAAACATCCGGACTCTACTCATGTTGGGAAGTCTCGATTCGGGTTATATAAGTCAGGGTCTTCCACAGGTACCTCATGAGGGGCCAGCAGGTGAGAGACATGATAAAGACATTTCCATTGCCATCCTACAACCAAAATCAAGGAACCGAGTCCGCAGAAACCCATGCAGGCCCCTGAAGGGGCTGCTCTGCTTGCGTCATTCATTCATTGGTGCGCAGCGTAGCCAAAGCTTTTCAATGGAGAAGAGAAACAAACTTAAAGCTTGTGCTACCCTGTTGAAGCGATGCTGAAGATATGACTAAAACGCCTCCTATGGCAATGTCCTGCGACCCCTACAAGTCTTGGCAGCTGTTAGGTAGATTCCTAACCTGGATCTTCTCACAACTCGCCTTGGAATTGGCATTCTCTTCTTCGAGTAGGGTAGGAATGCTCCGAATATGAAGGCCAAGCATACCTAGGCCTGCGTGACGACTAGATAACGCTGGTGCAACCATGTCTAAGCCTTGAGGTCCCAACACGAACCGTGACATGCAACTTTGAACGAAAAAGAACTCAATCAAAGCAATCAACCCAGCTCTTGATCCTTGTTCTCTACGGCATGTGGTACATCTAATGCTGCCAGGTTCAGGGCTCCGGACCGATTGTCAACCACGGTGCCGTAGTTCTTGATGCTTTCTGGGTCCTGTATGGGCTGAGCTTACAGTTCCAAGCAGAAGCTCTGCATCTTGTAGCTTCCCTTCAATGGGAATTCCAATAGGGAAGCAAATCGGGCTACCCAACACAACGCTACGACGAGCCTTAGCCAATAAGTTCTACGCACGTTCTAGGGATTGTTATGACGACTAAGTACCAACTGCATCATTAAGACGCGGATGCTGGCAATTAGCCTCAGCTCAGGACAACAGCAGTAACCACGCAGCCGACAATCAACGCATGCTTCGCAACTACAGGAGCACTGAACTTTCTGCAAGTCCCGAGGTACAAGTACATCTAAGCCAATCTCTGTTGTGAACCCTCCGATCCCCTCAACTTCGCAACAAACTCCCAACCCATGTTCAAGTCCTCAGTGGGATGGTAGATGCCCGGACCCAACTGCGGCAGGCTTGGAAGGGATCGTTCTGATGACGTGGGAAGCGGGAACTCCGACTAACCTGTTAACTAACTACAGCAAGGGTTACAGAAGACTACAGCGCTGCTGTCATCCAAGCAGCAAAGGTGCAACCCGTCCGTGCAAACTAGAAACGACACGGGGCCTAGCTGGAACTGTGGCTTCAGGGCTTTGGCCCACATGTCCAACACCTGACCCATTTACCCCGCACAGGAAGCAGGCTAGAATTTTGGTGGCATGCAGAGGCCCTTGGCGGAGACGTGCCATGACTGCCAGCATCAACATTTCTGTGTGGTTCTGGCATTGGAGACCCCAGAGCCCCAAGCCTCAAAATGTGCTAATCCCAAAAACCCTGAGACCCAAACACCTTCAAACCCTGAACCCATCCAGGTCGGCCTGTCTTCGAGGGCCTGCGGCCGAAACGGGCTTCCCAAATGTTGTGATCATAGGGGTACAGGGAACAAGTCATGGCTTCCTACTCTTCAGATTCTATCTGCTTGAAGATAATAAAGTGTAGTACCATCCCATGAATTCCTGTCACATGCAGTATCTCCAAACTAGTTCGTCTTCACATCCATGTGTCCAACATCCCCACCAGATAATGGTTGAGGGGCGGGATGGGGCTGGGCTCCATGCCACTCCAATTCTGTATCATCAATCTCGAGTTCAAAGCAGAAGCCCTCCATGTTCAAAGCCTCTTTTTCGCGCACCTACCCACCCAACCAACACCAACAGCATGTCACATTGACTTTTCATATCATATCCACAGCTCTGCACGAAACTCTTACATCAGGCACAGGAAACTCGTGCGCTCTGCAACGTATGGGAAGCTTGAGAAAACAACACTGTCCCGAACGCCAGCACTCACGAAACAACAGGGCAGACTTCAAGTAAGAAAGGCCCTTAACCCAGTAAATTGGTCCTGTGTTTTGAGGCATTATCCGAATGATGATGCGGCCCGGCGGGGCCGCCAACAAGCAAAATACGCCTTGCTTTGGCTGGACCCTTCACCTGCTACTCTCCTCTCTCCCTAGCACTTGGCACCGGAGCACCTTGCACTGAGCACGAATCCAGGTCATCCTCATCGTTGCGGGCTCGGCGTACGTCGGCGTTGCTGATCCCTGAATGTTTGCGGCGTGGGAAGCTAAAGACGGTTTCAAATGTTCTTTCATGAGGACCCCGGTCTTCCGGCGTCACTGTGCCTTTCGGGCGCAAGCTCTTGCATGAGCTTGGAAGTGTGGTCCTATGTACCAAGATCCAGGGGCTTGCCTGCCTTGGCAGCATGTAACCCCCGACTGCATCATGCAAGGTGTCCGCATAAAACAAGCCACGAACCTCTGATTACAAAATAGGAACAATCTTCCCACCCGAGACACAGCATTCCGCGCTCTTTGGCTTATCAAGCGATGAACTTGGAATCTTGATCATCAGTTACACTCAATGTGGCAAGATAATTCTCAATACCAGCAGTGCATAGGCCCAGTGTTTCCTGTTCAGGCTGCCCTCTCTATTTTGAGTACCCGCTTGAAGCGCTGGCATTGAAGGGGTACAGTAACCGACCGGATGAGCAGCTTCCTGCTTCATCTCTGAGAACCGCACCGGCCACCGGATCGTTCAGGTAGGTCTTGGGTTTTGTCGGCTCCCGCATCCACCTGCAATTCAGGAGGCATTGGAATAAGAGGGGCACAAATGGGAATGCGGGTACCAGAAGGCCGGTGAAAGGAATCACACCTAGATATTCAAGTATTGCAGGTACTATCTCTACGTTTAAGGGAAGCCGTTTGGGGTGGGCGGCTTTGGATTCACGGTTTAGAAATGTTTCAGGTCATGGAGTTTTGGGTTCGCGGTGTAAGATTCAGGGTTTAGGTTTAGGGTTTAGGTCGGGTATAAGAGAAAGGGTTTAAGGAGAGAGTGCTGTTCAAAACAAGTGCTTAGTATTTATGCTCTAGGCTTCAAGTGCCAGACTATGGTACACAGAGTGTGGCTGTATGCGCTTATTGAATCCCACTCAAGGTTTCAGATCTCACCAATTGGCATCTGTTGCCACTCCAAACGAGCAAGTAACGCAAGTGCGGCCTCATGCACATTACGATACAGAATGCTTTGCGACAAGTAGCTGCCTACTGAATGCAACCACGTTCAATATTGAAATCTTGTCCGCGGTGGTAGAAGCAGACTATCTGCATATGATCTCCTTGCTCCCGGTGTAACTCGAGATCCCGGCCTGAAAGATTCACTCATGCTTGTGGTGGTTGCTCCACCACTAAAGAATCAGTTAGCTGGTCGAGACGTGCTCGAAAAAGCGGTTTGACACCCTGCATGACCTCGTGATGCTTCCTTGTATGAAGCACCGCATTATCCTAACAGACCCAAACCTGCGTACATACACCCGAGAGCCGAGAGGCTTTCTACTCGGACTCTACTGTAAAATTTCGATCGACCTCCCTAAAATTCCCCTGAAATCCTGAACCTTAAAGCCTAATCCCTATAGTTTCCATTTTATTTTCATATTACCCCCACGTTCCCCTGCATGATTTTTGAGATAGAAGGATCCAGGGATGCAGCCCGCTGAAGCGGCCAGAGATGCCAAAGTCCCTGATGTTGGTATAGGCCTCTGATTGCTTGCAAAGGAAAAAAGTGGGAAACATGGGCTTCTGAAAAATCATTAGGAAAAACCTCCCCAACCATAGGAACTTGTTGTTTGCTACTTCTACCTGCCGTGGCCGCTATGTCTTCCCTTTGAGCTTTTCCCATGCTCTGTATGTTCGCTGCGAAAGCTCCAAAGCATTCAACTTCCCAACCCATTTTTGAGAGTTGGGTACCGGATGCATCACAAGAACTTCATGTGCCAAAACTGAACGGCCGAAGACCTGTCATTTTCCCCAGAAGAATTCTGTGCTGTCGGACCTACACAGGATTGTTGTAGAGTGCTGCCATTATTGGGGTGTCAGTTGTGCATCAAAAGCTGAAAGGAAAGCTATGGCCAGCGGAGGTCAAGAATCTGCGCAAAGACATGGCAGATCATGGCAGATTGTTGCAAGGCTAGTCTTTCAATCAAAGGGTCCTAGACCCTGGAACACAGAACTGTACTCCAACGCTGCTCCGCCATGCTTCGCACCCCTCAAGCCCATGAGCCTACCCCGAACTCACTGAAAGTCCACGAGAAATTCTTAATCTTGGGCCCGGGCCATGATCGGATGGGTCTTCTCTCTGCTCCCTGCTTTGGCCCTTCGTCCCGTCCCCGAAAAAAACGGCTGCACGGAACCAAAGGCGACCAACATACGGCATCACCGGGGTGACTAAAGGAGGAGAGCAGAAAGCGGGGATTCTCCAGGATTTGATTAAAGTTCGTGCTTGTTGTTGTTGTTGTCGGAGCAAGCCTAAATGACTTAGACATGGAAGGTGGTCGACCGCAGCAACCTTTTGCGATGCAAACGGTCTGAAATGGAGGCACCAATGATTTGGGGCATTCAGTCAGACGTATTGTGCACGGCCTGGAATGCTCGGAGGAATATTTGCCCAGAACCAGTTCAGACTGTGGAATAATTTGTGTCAAGACACTACTGCCCTGAGCCCTAGGTCCGAATTCGTTGAATGCAAAAGACCTTAGCTCAGGTGTAGTGGAGTTACCGGCCAGAATGGAGACAGATCCAGACTTCATTTTGGACACGCAAAGGTGCTGCGGGATCTTTGCCCACTTTTGGCACTCCCCTTCTTGGGGAGGTCCCTTGGAACCGCGGGGTTCCAGAGTTCGTTAGCTCAAGGCCTTAATTACAAGGCTTCAAACTGCTGGGCTTGAGGAAATCGGTCTCACTTCCCGACATACTTCAAGATAGCGCTGTCCAGCGGCATTGTGTACAGCAAGGGTTGCTTCAGTACTCCGGATCTCCATGTGCTCTTCCTGTACTTGTCAAAGCCTCGCACAACCTGGCAGGAACGGGTTCTTCGTCACCAGCTGACTAATGAGTCATGACCGTCACAATCAACTTGAGTGCGCCAAGGAAATTTCTGATCTCCAAGGCGCATCATCATGGCCATGGTCGCGGTTGATGGTGCCGCAAGAGGACCAAACTCCACGCAAGAAGGCCTGCACCTCCCCGTCCTGCATGTCTACGTAAGTTCTCATCACAGCGATGCATCTCGCACAATCAACATATTCTTGTTCAAGATTCCCAAATGCTGTCACTGTACCTCACACCTACGCACAGCAAAGAAGGGCCTCGCTCACGGTCACAAAGGCATCCCCCACAACAGCCTCGAAGGGAAGCTTGCTGTCCTCAGTTAGAAAGCAGCAGCGCTTCAGCGATTGCATTGCTCGAGCGTTGAAATCTGGGAATTCGGGAGGTGCTCAAATGACGGACACTGTCCAACTCTTTCGGGCTTCGCCACATTTTTAGACACTGATCTCAGAATACTAGGCTCACACTCCGTTGAAATGGAAGGGTGGGCATGGACGCAGCAAAGACATCAGGCCCTGCAGTCAGCATGTCAATGTCTCGAAGTTAGGACCTAGCTTGTATAGTTTGCACAGGCTGCCCCGCCACCTACCTTTGTGAGCCCAACATCGTGCCAGCAAGGCGCCCACCGCCAGCCGCTTGGACCATCCGTTTTGCCAATCACTTTTTCTGGCCCCATGGCCTTGGTGCCGCACTTGTGCCAATCATCGGTCTTCTACACTGTCAGCAATTAAACGCACGAACTCAGGGATTTCAACTTGTCCAAGAAAAGCTGAACATCCTGGCTGAGCTGCATGTGCAATGAAGAAGGCACGGTCACTGGATTCGAACCCATCAGGCAAGTACAGCTCCTCCATGATGCTGGCAAGGACCTTTGCCCTGGCAGGTTCTTTGATGGTCTGCGGCAATGCTTCAGGTAGAGAGCTCCAGAAGGCGATGTGGTAGCCAACTCCCTCTTCCTGCTTCGCTGGGTTGGTCTAATGGTTTGTTGACACCTTGCATTCCTGGCATGACTCATGCTGCAAGGCAAGGAAGGGGTTGGAGCCACTTCCAAAATCCATGAGGCATTCTCACCAATGATTCCCTGACCTGGAAACACATCCCTCAAACACCCTCCAACACATGATCTTCTGAATGTGGCCCGCAGCCCCAAAAGGGTCCTGCTTGTTCAACGACAACGCCGTTGTCGCAAAGCCGAAGATCTGCTCCCGCGTTTGCAGCTGAGGCCCCAAGGTGCTCTTGGTCTTTGCCCACTTAACCAGGGCCTGCCGCACCAGAAAGATCAGCTTCAACAGACAGGAGGCAAATGTTATGCCGCAGAGTCTGGCAGACATGACGCGCCCCTGGTTCAACCTAAAAGATTCACAGAACGCTGTTGTATAAAAGTGATCTCATTCACAGGACTTCCTTACTTGTGACCAAGCTCGAACCCAGGAAGAAGCTGCTCTGAACCCCACGAAGCCTCAAGACGGGAACGAGACATGAACCTGCCCTTCTTCCTTCCACACTCATCCAGCTCAGTAAGTCAGATTCAACCTTTCAGGGGCCCACTACTACAATGTCAACATTGTCACTGCACGCTCTGACGAAGCGTGCTGCCTACGCAGCAAACAACCCAAGGCCTTGTGAAGCTCCTGCCTGAATTGGGGCTCTGACCAGCTTTCACATCCATTGCTAAGCATTCTCATTCATTTGGATCTACGGGGTCTAGACGACTACCACCATCAGCCAAGAACAGTAGAAAAAGGTTGGAAGAAAGGAATAGGAGAGGAGGGACAGCAGAAACAACTTACACCTCAAGCCCAAAGCCATGGATCTTCGGCAGGTCCAGAAGCAGACTGCACAACATTCCTACCTAATCACCCAAGAAGCACTTCTCTCCGAGCCTAGGAAACTCGCAGAGACAACCAAGAACGAACATAGATATCATAGATCTCTACCCAGCTGCGGTTGCTTTGTGGGGCTTGGCGGCCACTCGTTGGCTGCCGGGCCAGGGGCCTAGGTCTGTCTTGGCCCTTTCGTTTTGGTTGTCAACCAAGGTCCAAGGGATAGTGAAGAAGTTCTAGCCAGCTTTTATCAGTGTTTTTGGTCTTGTGGGTCATCTATACGATTTTTCTTCAGTTTTCCATGGGACTTTGGCGGGCAAAGGGTGTTAGTTCTTACCAGGGTCTATCAAGCTTCATCACTTGCCAAGAGTTGACTCCTATACATACCGGCCGCATTGTAGAGGACGCGTAAATACCTCACTCAGCATTGAGGGCAATTTCAATCTACCCATCTCTGCATCCAACTTAGATTTGAAACAGCTATGTCTTTTGGCTGATTATAGCTGTGTTCCAGAATGCGAGGCTCATGGAAAGGTTATTCATGGCTAGCTGTGGCAACGGAGTTTTCAGCCCGTCTGAAGCCTGACTCCTTGCAAATGTAGCACAAGGACCCACCTCTGCCACTTCTGGGAAATGAGAAAGAGCTCATGTAGATGCGTCTCAGTACTGCAAAAAACATGTTTTGCTGTTTGGGAGAGCGCGTCCATCTTAAGTTAATAAGGAACAGTGAACGCGGCGGCCAGATACCCCACAGTCCTCTTCATCTCAACAGGGGCCCAGGAAGAAGCTGTTCGAAAACAGAGACCCAGTGGCCAGCTTGCTCGGCGTGGGCCCAAGGGACAAGCAGCTGCCCATGGTTGCGCAGAACGGCAAGAATGACTGGAACAATAACCCTGACAACAAGAAGTACTATTGAATGTGGTCAGGTTGATGACTATCATCATGCCCTGCTGAAGCATGACTCAGAATGATCATCATAGTATGGTAAATTGCGGAGCGCGGTGTAAGATATAACATACCCATGCCTCTATGTCTTGCTTCAGCCATGTCTACATACTCGGACTATTCATGCCTGTCATAACCAAACACTTCGGGACATGCTTGCACTGATGGGCCAACTACACTTGGCGGGCCACCTAAAACTTGACGGGAACCAATGCCTGCCAAAGACCCCGCTTGCATGACTAGAGGGCAGATTACCCGCGCAGGTGTAAACTGTCGTAGCAACTTCAGCAGGAGAATGACGCCTAAGTAAGCACCAGGTGCTGGAGGCCTATCAGATCATCAGGCAAGGAAAAACGGACAACAGCAGCCAAACAAATTGTAAGGACTCATGCAGTTGCAGAAATTGGAGGTGCAAGCGTTCGGTAGATTGTTTCGGTCATTGCACATTGCACTGCATGCTCTGCGAGTTTGAGTTTCATATGTCCTTGCTGCATCATGCGAGCCTTGGTAAGAAGATGGTTAATGAGGTGGAAGGCATTCTCCCAAAGCTCACAGAGCCTTCTGACGAAAAGTGTGCCTCTTGGGCGCCAGAACCTGCTCAAACATTGCTCCTGCAAGACGGAATTAGGGGTCTAGTCCAGAAAGTCTGTCTGCGGTCAAGATTTGCCGTGCTCTGTGCTTGCAAGCTTCTTTTCACTGACGCCGTCATCTCAGCGAATCATTAACGAAGTGCTTTAACGCTTCTCCGCACGTGGTGTTCATGGAAGACATTGCTTTCGAACCTCTACATCTGCTGCACTCAAATCTACACAGAACCTCAACTTCAAGCCGTTAGCCCTTGACCCCAGAAACCTACCCAACTCGGACACCCTCAATTGTCAATGTCTTCATTCCATACGCACATGTCCACCACGCGGGGCACTATCTACAACTCGATGCGCGTGTTAGCATCGTTTGTCAACTCAAGTACACATGTTTGGGGGGTAGTTGGCTTTGCTTTCAGCATCTGTGCAGTTGCAAAGATGTTGTACCACAAAGAATCACAGAGTGTGAGTTGAGGATAACTGAGGTACATAGGCAGAAAGCTTGCCCCTCACAAGCCCCCGAAAGCCTAAAACGAGCCGCACACTAGTGGAAGCACCTGGGTCATGAGGAATACCTTGCTCGTCCTCCGTGCTCCCTCAGAGCTCCGCCTGCACCGCCAGCTGCGTTGAGATCTCCTTTCGGCCTACATGCAAGGGGACTGAACAAGGGGTGGCAAGTATTATGAGAGGTTCCCTACGCAGGGTGCGGGTAGAGCAGACTCAGGCTGTGGTCTGCCTGACAAATCCAAATCTAGATTGGCTTACAGACTCTGACTACGTCCTCACCATTGATAACACCGTTCCCCTTTGAGCCTTGAGTGATCCGACATGCCTTCGCTTAGGCGCCATTCTCCAGCTGAAGTTGCAATGACAGTATACTTGCTGCATTCTGCTCAGCATCGGGAAGAAGATGTTGAATGAAGTGGAAGGAATTCTCCCAAAGCTCAAAAGGCCTTCATACGAAAAGTGTGCCTTCGTTGTGCTTGACGATGTCCTTCTACTGGATGGAGTCCAACCTCCCAGGAATTTGCTGGGAGGAATCACGCCTCAAACCCTGACAATAACAATTAACAGTATAGAACATAACAGCCCGTATACCATTGCTGGCGTTGCAATCATCCTGTGAGGGCCGTCTGCGCCATTTGAATCTGCGCTGACTGAACACGGAAAGCATCTGCCAGGGTTTCCAGGTTTCTTTTCGATGACATATCCAATAATGATGGAAAAGAGTATGGCAACCACACTATTACGTGCCGGTTTCCCTCACCCTGGAGATGCATCAAAACACGCCGCGAAAGTAGTCACCGACTCGGAATGCCAGGGGAAAAGGCAACATCGTAACATTTCAGGTCAGAACTATGGGGCCCTTGTATGGACCCTAAGTCTTCTAGTCCTCAAGTACAGCTCCAAGAGACTCCATGCACTGAATTCCAGGAGTTCTCAATACTCAGTGACTGAGGTGAGCGCCCCACACCAAACTTGCTCTTCAGCTCGGCATCGAGAGCCCTTAGACTGTCTGGGATTTGCCGGCTGGGGCTTTCAGGATGTTGCATCCCTCCGATTGCGATGCAGCTGTTTCTGAGCTAGGGGTGCCTCCTCAAAATTAGGGGCCCACACCAAACAAAAGATGAGGATGCGAACATCTTGCAGGAGCGAGCATCGAGTAGTTAGGAAAGGTACACGCGGCACCATCTGAAGGACTGCAAGTTTACAAAGCTCTGAGGCAGCATGTGTTGCGAGTTTGAGGGTTCGGTGCCATGCAGCACTACATGCATGCAACGTCAAACTTCACCGCGTTCCACAGTATGAATGGTGGTGACGCCAATCTCATCCTCTGGGTTGGACATACATCGGGGCTTATCCCCAGGACTTTCTCTGGATAAATTCCTCGGGGCATGAAGGGCAACCGAGAATACATATCAAAGGGGTTATAGGGCCTTCTAGAATCAGCGATTCTGAATGTTCATGGGGCTTTGACGCGGACCGGACCTGACACCTCAAGCGTTGTCGCCAGCCCTCGCCTCCTGCTAGCCTTTCGGAGGCTCAGACTTTGTCGTCCTTGTCACCGGAACTGCCTCCCACCATCACAGTGGCAAGCTGCCCAGTGCACTGCACCGAAATAAATCCCGTCGGGAAACCCCCAAACTGATCATCTACTGCCATAAGATTTCCTGGGTTCACCGATTTCACGAGTTCACCTTTCCATCGGGGCCTACCATATACACGAAATAAGATCCTGCAAGCAGGATTTCATTTTACCGCATCCAACACTCATCTCCAAGCCTCACAGGCGGATACCTTTGATGCTGCTGTAGGTGCAGGCTGCCTTCTGCTAGGCCGAAAGGTTTGCACCCTCTTGGCCACTAATGTCAACCATCCTGCCAGGAACCACCTCCAAATGGCAATACATATTGATGTTGTCCAGGCACTGCTCTTTGTTATGAGGCCTGAACCTCAACCAGTTTCAAGTAAAAGGAGAACCCAAGAAGGATGACGCGAAATCCCAGCATGAGGCCGTGACTCCTCATCGACCGGCGCGTTGCCGCGACCGATGGTCGACAGCTTTGTGGGGTCATGCCTTGAGAGATCACCAATGCAGGGTTCAGAATTTGGAGTTTAAGGGTTTAGAGCTGGGGGACGTTACCATGCCAAATACGTGGAACATATGTGATACTTGTGCGCGGAGCCCCCGCAGCATAGGACTTTTGCCCAAAAAAATCGCTGTAATCCTGTGAGAATACCTTCGTCATCGTTCTGATGGAGGCCGCGCTGGCAGTCCTCGTTCGTGCTCGCTGAAATTTCTGGGTGTAAACTCGCAGACTTGGGTGCTGTAGGGGCCACGCGCAGCCTCTTCTGTAAATCACGGCACTGACGCGCTTCTAACTGTCATGGAGCAGAAAACGAAGCGGC